AAAAATCTGACCGATTTCGGAGGGCGGGGTCGCGACGCTTCTGAGGGGACGAGGCTCCGGGACCCGCGACTGACTGGTAGCCGATCCGTCCGTCGACCCTGCCTGCGTTCGCGGTGGGGGAACCTCCGGGCTTCGGTCATGGCGGTGCGAGCGTCTTTCGAGAACAACTGTGAGATCGGTTGCTTTGCCAAACTCACCAACACCTACTGCCTGGTGGCCATCGGAGGGTCGGAGAACTTCTACAGGTGCGGCGGAGCGGGAGGGTTGTCGAGGTCGGGAGATCCGGCTGAGCGTGTCCGGGCTGGTGACCTCCGAGTCTGTGTCCCTACAGCGTGTTTGAGGGCGAGCTCGCCGATACCATCCCTGTGGTGCACGCGTCCATCGCCGGCTGCCGCATCATCGGGCGCATGTGTGTGGGTAAGGCATGTGGAGGACGCCTAGGGAGAGTGGAGAGTCCAAGCACCATTAATTATTAATCGTATCCCTGGAGGGGACGCGGAGTGACCTAGGAGTTTCCAGGCCTTCGTTCATTATCTCCGTGGACTGTGGAATCTCTCGGGGCTGAGTAGGACCCAGTCTGAGAGCAGTCAGGGGAACAAGAGTTCTTGAGAATAATAAATACAAATGACAGTCAAAAGAAATAGCACAATCAGGTGCATTGTCGCACGGCTGTATCCTAGCTACTTAGAATGCTGAGGCAGAGGGATGGATGGCAAGTTGGATCCCAACCTGGGCACCTTAGGGCGACTGTAAACGTGAAAAAGGCAAGTCGCTCTGTTTTTATTTTTGTTTTTGATAACGGGAATCGAACTCAGGGCCTCATGCTTGCCAGGTAGGTGCTGTACCCCTGTGCTACATCCCTGGCCGAGAAACAAGTACTTTTGCTCTTGTTCTCTAGAAGTACAAATCGGTGTCTTTTTTTAAAATTAGAAATTAGTATCTTAATTTGGCTAATGAGGAAATGAGATTAGGGAATCTAGGTGACTCACCAAGTACCACACCTATTGTGGAGAAGGATTTTAATTTTGTCTCTTTTCTGCCACCGACTGACTGTATAGACAAGCTTCTTCCTGGTTCTGAGCATCCATTTCTGCCTCTGTGAAATGATACAGGCTCAGAGGCTGGGTTATCTTGTACATTTAAATCCTCAGTTCCCATTTCCATGCCTGGCATTTCTGCTCTGATCTGCCATAGCTGTCAGCTGTGGCCATTCCTCCTTTCTTTAGGGTGGCTCTGTGTCCTGATAGTGCCACCTCTTGTTTCTTACTTTGCCGATTGGGTTCACAGAAGTCTTATTTTTTTACTTTCAATTAAGAAAAATCTTAAACATTATGACCTTGTTTTCTAATTCATTTCAAACACTTTGATCGAAGAACAGGAAAACAACACCCTGATCTCTATCCATGCCCGTGAGATTTGAAGAAAACTCAGAGAATGAGGGTGAATGTAGCTTAGCCCTTGTATTATAAGAGAGCAGCTCTTAGTTCTGAGGTTCAGAGTTGTGGCCTTACAAGGACACAGAGAATTTTAGCTGTAGTTCTGAAGGTGTCATTAAACTTTGTTCTGTTTTGTTGGCATGGAGTAGCTT